CGGCGCGGACTGCCGCACGCTGCCTACGGGGAAGGATGGGGCCGAGAACTTCTGCCAGAATTCTCGGGGTCGAATCCCAGGTGCCTTGCCGCCTGGCTGTATGACCTTGGGCAATGACGTAGCTTCTTTCTGTAAAGAGTCTTCTCACTTATGAGATGCGGACGATCCCATCTCAGAGGGCCGTCGTGAGGGATAAACATGATGGTGAAAAGAGAGAGCTTAGCTTGGCAGCTCCCGCTAAAAACCCAGGCCTACAGCCTTCAGGATGGCCAGAGGGCAGCGGGTGGCAAACACGGACAGACTGGACCTTCCGAAGCCCTCTAGGATCGCTCGCCTTGCTTCCCTGGGGCAGCGATCCCCAACCTTTCTGGCCCCAGGAACCGGTGCTCCTATGAGAATCTGATGCCTGATGATCTGAGGCGGAGCTGAGGCGGTGATGCCGGCGCTGGGGGCAGCTGCAAACACAGGTGAAGCTTTGCTCACCTCCTGCTGTGCTGCCCGGTTCCTGACAGGACACGGACCAATGCCGGTCCATGACCCAGGGGCTGGGGACCCCCGATTTAGCAGGTCTGTTGTGGAGCCCAGAAGGCAGCATTTAACAAGCTTCACAGGAGCTTAAGAGAGAACCGATCCATGACTTTAAGAGGCTTCCTTCAGAACAACCCTGACGAACAGCCACGTCACCACCGAGGACACACAAGTGGTCAATAAACCCGTGAAAGGGTGTCCACATCACTAGTCACTAGGGAAAAGCAAATCAGAACCTCGCTGAAATACCCCTGGAAAAGTATTAACCCACTGAAATGGCTAAAATTATCTGGCAGAGACGCACGACGGTTCAGTCACGGAAGATATCAGGCATTTTCTCATGAAGTTGAGCATCCACTTATCTTACGATCCAGCAACCCCACTCCCCGATATCTGAATAAATAAAAACCTGTCTGTGTATCTCCACCTCCCCCTCCCCCAACTTCCTCCTCTGGTAACCACGCGTCGGATCTCTTTTTCTATGAGTTTGGGGTTTTTAGATTGCACGGATCAAAAGGCACACACTGCCAGCTATCAAAGATGAGTAAGGATTAGGGACGCAGCGCACGGCATGAAAACCACGGCTCACGCTGCCGTGATGTGGGGAGAGTTGCAAAGAGCAGATCCTGAGTTCTCATTGCAAGGAAGACTTTATTTTTACCTTTTTTCTTTACTTCTTTTTCTTGTATCTGTAGGAGAAGATGGCTGCTGGCTGAATCTACTGTCGCACCCATTTCACAATATATCAATCAAACCATCCGCCGTATGCCTTAAACTTACACAGGGATGGCCGTCAATCATTTCTCAATAAAACTAGGAAAAAATACACAAAGTTTCAGTATTAAAAAAAACACTCGTACACGGATGTTTATGGCAGCCTTATCCATAATTACTCCAACCTGGGAAAAAGCCAGATGCCTTTCAACGGGGAAACGCACCAACAGCCCGCAGTGCGGCCAGGCCGCAGCACACACGCAGCCCTGGAAGGGGCTGAGGTGCTGGCGACCACCCCGTGACGCGTCTTTCTACGCGAGACGAGTCAGAGGCAGGGGCTGCACGGTGTCTGAAGCTGCTGGGCTGACACCCCGGAAGAGGCAGCACCATCGTGAGGGAAGCAGGGGAGGCCAGGCGTTCCCGGGGCTGGGGAGGGGGAGGATTTGACGCCGCAGGGGCCCAGGGGCGGGAGCGGGTGTGCGGGGTCCACGGAACTGTTCTGTCTTCACTACGGTTAAATGACTGCACGCCGAACATTGTAAAGGGCGAGCTTCATCATCCGCAGACTATACCTCAACGAACCAAAACATGGGCCGGAAAAAAATAAAAAGACCTCGAAAGAGGAAACGTGGCTTCATGCCGATCAGACTCGTCACAGAGCGGCTTCCACGGCCGCTGGGCCCAGTTTCGTGTGGAC